CTCTTGAGCCTGAGGCGCCAGGCCGGAGCAGTGCAAAACTCGATTATTCGCAAATCATGTTGGGAGCAACTACGGAACGTGCGAACAAGGCCAGTTTTCAAGATCCTGTAGTTAGAGAAGAAGGATTTTCCGGCTGCGTGCGTTTGTGCGCACGAATCATTTCGATAAATCCATTATGAGATTCTTCCATTACCCACTATCAGAATTCGTTTCTCGTTAACACCGTATCACTTAAAAGTTCGTGAGACCGTCTCGTTCACACCTGTAAAACACGGCACGATCTGTAGATCGCGCGCTGTGAGCATTCTGGGAATTCTTGCCTGGTGTGTCGCAGTGTTGGACGAGGGGTACCCGCCATTGCACCACCAAACCTCATTGGAATTCTGTTGGCCACTCGCTGCCCAGTACCAGCGCTTTGGCCGAGTGGTTGTGGGCTTGCCTGCGAATCACAAGGTCCCGAGTTCGAGACCCGCGCTGGGAGCAGGGAGCGTATACTGTGCTAGCAAATGCGGTGATGCATGCGTGAACCACTTTACATGCAGTGAACTGCGCCGACACCCACGGTCAACTGGGTACTCACTACTCGGAGTGAGGGTAACATGGATGCAGCTAACGAGGTTAGCCCCCTTGTCGGGCATTGGTTGTGAGACTTACCACCTCACCCTCGCCGTTAGGCGCTGCATCTGCCACCCTGGTAGCACAGGCATGGTGGTGGCCTGGCACATGCGAAACTTCCTAAGCTGGTTGTGTTTCTCAACGCAATTGTATAGCCGGTGGTAACGCGGACGTGCAAACTTTACTTTACTTTTTTTACTTTACTCGCTGCCCATTTCAGCGTTCTATCAATCCCCCAATCGCTCGATTTCATCGAGATCCGATTAGGGAACACCTCCAGCTTGGCTTGGCCCTGAGGTGGTCGGACACATTACGTGCCTGTGCCTGAAGCGGTGCTCGGCTATTACAACTTATTAAATTCCATCTTCAACTGGATGCAGTTAGAATATCATATTTACCCCATCTTCGACTGGGCATAACTCGCCGTTTACCTGTCTCACCTGGTCCGGCCTGATGACGTCAGCTCAGTGAGCAAAATGCGAGGACATGATCAGTGAATTAGTCCTCATCATGTCGGACATAAATTAGTATGTACCTATTCGCCGGTGTGTCTTGTAAGCGCACAGCGGGGGATCCGCGAATCATTGCCAGTATAGTACTAGTAGCGCTTCCAGTACAATGTGCCACAGTAGCAATCTTTCCTATCGTTACACCGTTTCGAACCAGAGAAAGCGAATAATTATGGGACTCTCGCTGACCATACGTTGCCATCAACGCTTATCACCGCGTGGGTTCTACGTGTGCACTCTATCAGCTGCCTCGAGCTAGATTGTGTTCGGGCATGTACATACAGTCATACACGTAGCCAGTCGTGAATGGTGCAGCGACGGTGTGTGCCGATACGCGTATACGATACGTTGCATGGTCCGATCGATCTCACAATTGCAAATCGGATTGCCCACAGGAGCATAGTCTATAGTCTGTTTTAATACTTTCTGGTTGTCACATGCTGGTATGATACCAGTATGGAGTGTGCGCATGTGTGGACACGGGAGTTGAAACTTGAGCTCAGATGTCATCATGCGGATATCAAGTAGCTCCAAGCCAGGTGTGTTCGTGTATTGCTTACCGGACCATACTCTCCGTCCATGGACTAGGCCCTGACCTAATTACAACATGATAACAGAGCCGTGATGACACGAAAGTAAAGGATATTGTGTGACGGCAATGGTTGATTATTGTCATGTTCAAGTAAACCTGTAACAGCAGTACATGGTACGTGCCATGTGGTCCTTGGTAGGCATTGGCGGATAATGCTCGAAAAGGTGGCAGATTCTGCTCGAAAAGCAGTGAAATTGGCAGAACCATACAAACCTTATGGCGGGCAATTCCTCGAATTCTGCTCCATTTCTTTATCCACATACCAAACATGCATGAAACTTACCAGAAAAAGTACTGAATTCTGCCAATTTTTCTGCCGGCATTATCCGCATATGCCTAGTCTTTGGGAAGAACTTTCTAACTTGCGTTAGAGTATCTCTACCTGCTACTGGCCGAAATTTACTTCAAGTAAAAACAAAAATCTTTACCAATCCTGCAGAGGGAGTACACAGCTTTCAGTGATGCACCTTTGCTGCAGCAATGTGAGTGATGTCAGAGTGATGTCATGTATTCTTGCTTGTGAGTTGAACTTGTCATTAATGTCTGTTGCGTAACCGATCCTTTCAATGTTCTTATCTTTCCTTTTCCACCTGGACTCCTCGTTGGTGTCCCTTTTCTCTCTAGCTCTTTTTTTTCACTAAGTACACAACCTACCGTACTCGTCAGAAGGGGAGAAGATTCTCCTGTACCTTCTAGCCTGGGACCTTCCGTCTGTGTCATGTACATGTACATGTAGAGTAGAGTGGACTCCTAAGCAAATGGAAGGGTCCGTTACTCCGTAGTAAGCAACAAGAGCCACTTGTTCAGTTCATGATCGCTATGCGCTCTTTGCGGAGACTCTCAGCCAAGCCTGCGGGGAATCCTTGAACAAGAAAAATTGCAAAAAATTGCAGACTCCGTCACAGCCTGCACAATGCATGCACAAGTACCACAGCGGAGATCGAGAAAACTGTGTGTGTGTGTGTGTGTGTTGAGTGCGAGTTGTTGATCGTGGAAATGGTGACAACTCGGTACGTAGTACAAGCATGAGAGGTGACACGCACTGAACGCTGTTGATTGACAGTAATTGCCGTCTTCTAGCCTCGCTAGATAAACGGCAAATGGCAGGGCGACGATTGCAGCCTCTTTCACCCCGTGCTGCATCGGTGGGGCTAGCTGCCGAAGTGATGCGGCGATCATCCAGAGAATGGAACTGCAACACTCTAACACTGGCGATGCCAGGAATCTCAGAATCAGATTAGCCACCATTCTAATTGTTCCAACCGTATGTCTCGCACAAGCGCTTATTCACACACACACACACGCACAAACACACGCACGCACTCACTGTGCGCGTGTTTGTGCGTGTATGTGTGTGTGTGTGTGTGTGTGTGTGTGTGTGTCTTTGTGTCATACTGGTCGAATCGTCCGTACTCATCAGCGTCACGTCGACCCTCAGGCCTACATTCTAGCCTTTCAGGGCGATAACCTGTTACACTCCCGTCGAATTCCCTTCCAATCAGCTCTGTGAAGAGGTGAAGTGAATGGGCAAAACAGCTTATGAGCCATGTTCAGCATTGCTGACATTCATGCGTCCGGAGGGAAATAATTGTTCCAGGCACAAGTAACATTCAACGCGTGTGACGTCAGGGCCTTGATTAGTTGCACTTCAACTCTGGAAAGTGGCAGGCTGAACGCCATGCGACGTCGTCCCTAGTCGAGTCTCTCCGGCTGCACTCAGGGAGCCAGGCTATGGCCCGGGTGTGCAATGTTCGCTGGCCGCGCTGAGCACATGTTCAGCACAGCGTACACTCTCACACCCAGTGCACCTTCCGGACACCTTATCACGGCACTCAGTGGTTGGTCAGCACCTAGCGTTAGCTCTGGTGGAGTGGTGCGGGCAGGGGATAGAAAAATCAGATCTCTACGGAGCAAGTGTCAGTAGTGAGATGCCTGGATGAGGGCTATTTCACCACAATAATAGGTATCTTTTCTGGCCGCCCTTGTCACCTCTCTGTAGTGTTTGCCTCCCCGATGGTTGGACATAAGTAAGCAGAGAGGAGCCGCAAAACCTCCATTGTGCTGTGTCAATGCGCACATTTCTGCTAAACGTTTTACCGTGCATAGCACTCTAGTATGGAAGCCGTTGGAAGCGGACACTTTGTAGCAAGGCGGCGTCCCTGAGTGCTGAGCAACGCCAACCAGCATCCATTAGGCATTACCTGGTTAGTGGATATTATGCAGTTACTAGTATACGATGATGTCAATGCCTCTAGATCCTGTTAGTGGGCGGATGCAGAAAGTCCGGATCCGGAAAGCGTACTTGCTGGTCAGGGGGGGGGGGGGGTATGGTGGTCAGGTGCGTATCATGAGCCAGTCATGCCAAGTCCTCGACTCGATCAGAGGATCCCGGAGTTGTGCGCCATGATGCGAGAAGCCATTTAATGCGCGTGGAGCATGCACTGCATGCATACACCAGGTGTTACAAATAATAATTGGCCCAATCAGATCAAATCAGGTTGTTGCGAAGTGCAATGCTTTACATTACCAACATACCCCCCCCCCCCCCCCTTAAGGCCTTGCTCTGCAGCTGTCGTGCAAGTCTTCCAATTCGTTTGCGACGTTTTTTCCGTTTTCGTACTTGGAGTAACATGTAGAAAGGTCCTTGTCTTGGACCCATGTGCTGTAGTTTCTCTTCAGCTCTCTTCTAGTAGTGTTGCATTCTCTCCTAGTTATTCTCAGACTTGTAGGCCAACTTAGAGACCGCCAT